TCCAACTTTGGTCCCCCCTGTGGCAAGATGCAATTCCGTCCATCACCAACTCCCTTTGCATCCGGTCTTGAATTACGCAGACTCTGGCGTCGACCTCACAGAGGCCCCCTAACAATACAAATGATCGATCGGGCGGCCAGAAGACTGAGCTTTGAAAAGTGCCCCGTATCAGCAAGCTTTCGTCGACCATTGCCAACCAGGAAGATAAATCCAGTGCGACGGCGACCTCACGACCTCCAGAATTAAAACAATAAACCCCTTCCTTTGACTGTTGCTGCACAGCAGAAAGTTTCAGGGTGCGGAAATTCCACCTCAGGCGAAACCACCGCTCATGGATTGAACGGCCAGCAATTTCGTCCTGCGTGTATCGCCGTCATGGAGTAGCGTACCGTCGCGTCGTTTCATGTCGACCCGTCTCATGTCAGTCATGTCCCGTCATATCCTGCCATATCACATCGTGACCCAAATGGCCACGAATCACCGTCACGGAGTAGTGTACCATGCATCGCGTCGTTTCATGTCGAGCCGTCTCATGTCATGTCCCGTCATATCACGTCGTGACCCAAATGGCCACTAGACGTGTCAGATGTTGCACAGACGTCCAACATTTTCAAACTTCAAGAACTTCAAGCTGTTGTTACACAAGTAAATCATAAATAATGAGGGCCAGGGGGTCGGAGGGGGAGGGGGAGGGGGAGAAAGCCGGGGAGTATGATGAAGAAGGTGCTTCCGAATTCTGACTGGCTCTCCCACATCAGACAATTGAATAGCTTGCCTACACTTGCCAGTGCCAAAACGAAACCACCAGTACAGCTTTGGGGCGATGAAGCTTCAGGAGTCCCATGGTCCATGGAATATACCTTGTGCATGTATGTTTCTGTAGTGTAGTTCTTAAGACGCCGACAATCTCTTTCCCAGCAATCACTTCAGATAGGTCGATCAGCATGATCACCACGTTCGTTGGTCTTGAATAGAGAGCGGAGTGTAGAATCCGCCAACTTCGCACCCAACTTTCTGCCCTTGCTTTGGTCTTTCTGTGTGGTGGATAAGCCGAAGGTAGACACGTAGCTGTCCAGGTGCAGACACAATTAAGAGTATCTATCGATCCTGACATGAACACACCTTTTCCATGACAGAAATCATGACGTTCTCAAACCGTCAAACGGTGTCAAACCCGCGCCGACTAGTCCCATGGCCCCCCACCCATGGTCCCACCCTTCACAGAGAAAGGGTTGATAATACTTGATATGTATGTCATATCCAATCATTGGCTTGCATCCCTCACAAGCAGAGTAAAATCAAACATCTCATAAAACCGGGGAAAAGGGGAAAAGATCATCCAGAAGACTCTGTTGAGCAGAGACAAACTAGTCCCACCCTTAGCAGAGAAAGGGCTGATGTGTTGTATCAGTCATATCCAATCATTGGCTTGCTTGCGACCCTCGACAAGTCGGTAGAACGCATCGCATAAGACAGGGAAAATGGGGAAGATCATCCAGAAGACTGTTGAGGAGAGAGGACTGTCATCGGAGACCATATATTTACAAAAGAGCCGACGTCACACGGAGCCATACGGACGAGAAGTGCAACAACAACAACAACGGCAAAACTAAATACGCCATAGTTTTCTGAATCGCATTATGAGATATCAATTCATCAACAACAAAAAAGCAGCCGAAAGCACACGTTTGCCTGGGAAAGGCGGAGGAAGCCTACGTGGGTGCATCCCCCCCGCTCCCAGTCTACAGATGGCACAGTTCTCGATCAACAAGGACGGGCAACGGGGGGCAAGTGAGAAGTGCATATACAGAGATCGAAGACAACGAGAGCCACAGACCAATCAGACCAAAAGGTCTTCCTTCCTCCACTTGTGTATACCTCAAACGATCCTTGCCCTAGCCAAGAATGCTCCAAAAGCAAGACCCCGAGGAATACTGCGTCCCAGGTTGATCTACATGCATTACTGAGGATCAATCAATCAATTAATCAATCAATCAATCAACCAATCAATCAATCAATCTATCAATCAATCAATTAATCAGTCAATCAATCAATCAATCAATCACACATAATGACCACCAAAGAAAACCAAATGGAATGAGAACGCTTACGCTTCATCCACTTTGTCCAAGCGATTAGCACCACCCCCCCTTTGAGGATGGACCCCCTCAGGGTGTGTCCTTCAAGATGAGCTGCACATCACCATACCCATATTGCGCCTTGTGTTTTTCAAACAGCTCCTGCAATGCCTGGAAATACTTCGCTCTCATAGTCTCAATGTCCGCATCGGTTAACTCTCGAACAGCAGGGCAGCCATATACTTTCTTGCCTGTGTCGGGAACCTTGTGCTCAGCCACATCGTCGTTCGACGAATTCGACAAAGCAGTGGCCTCCTCCGATATCTGCGGCGCTGTGGGTATAGGTTTGCCAACCACAATTGCAATTTGCTCTGGACGTGGAAGAGGCAACAGTCCCGCAACTCCCACAGGCATGAAGGGCACGGGAAAGCCCAGACGGCGATACGTTAATCGCTGCAAAGCCTAGTGGAAAACACCCACAGCAGGAGGCATCACCCCATTCATACCACAACAGTTCCCAGTTTAGGGTTTACTTCTCCACATTTTCGGACTCGGAACAATAATGGGAAAAGAGAGAGAACATAAGATGCACAGGAAAAGGCAACACGAAAAGCCATAAGAACTCGAGGAAAACAGTGGAAGGCGTCCCACTTTGTCCCACATGTCTACCTCTACGTTTCAAAATGCACCACCCATTCATTTATCGGGGACGGAATATTGTGATTCCTTCTAGATAGACCTCCACGGAACTCAGTGTGGCTGTGTCCCTTCACATACATACATACATACATATATACATATAAATTGATATAATATATTGTCACATCACTACAAACTAAAAGAGCGCACTTTGCGGAACAAAGAATAAAAGCAAGAAACGGGCACAGTGATAACATGCAAAAATAAAAATAAAAATAAAAACAAAAAGAAAACACAAGGGCAGATTGAAACCATTAAATTTCTCATTCTTCTTTGAACTCCACCTCCACTGTGCCTCTCACGTGCAAGGCTCGCCACGTTGATGAAGTTGAGCGCGAGCTGCCCCCATCCC